AGAAAGCAGTCACAATGGTGTAACTGAAGCGCTACCTTGATTTTATGTTTATATAACACACCCTGACTGCTCTTTAGAAGGCCAGATCCTAAAGATGAAACACAAATACTTTGGCCACCTAATGAGAAGGAAGGACTCACTGGAGAAGAGCCTAATGCTGGGAACGATTGAGGGCAAAAGAAGAAGGGGACGACAGAGAATGAGTTGGCTGGATGGAGTCACTTAAGTAATAGGCATGAGCTTGAATGGCCTCCAGAGGATGGTAGAGGACAGGAAGGCTGGAAGAACGTTGTCCATGGGATCACGATGGGTGACACAACTTCACAACTAGCAACAACAACAACAACAACACACATAAAAATCAGACAAAGCTTAGATTGCAGCATTGTGGCTGACATCTTGATTTTTTTTAACCATACTTACGAAAGCCCCATGTTCAGTGTAAAAATACCAAAGCTAGAGCTGATACACACAAAGATCTTGTGAGCTAAAGGGAAATAAATATTTCTATACCTCAGCCAAACATTATATCCTAATATGTTTTAGATTTGTAAGTGACTTGGGCCAAATGCTCAAAACTACGTTAATGAAAGCTAAGCTCCTTTCTTGATGGCAAGAGATCACTGGGTAAGTTAGGATCAGACATTTTCTCTCATCCCAAGTTACCTTACAAGATTATCATTGTGAAAACAAGAGATTATGCATGCCTTAAGCATGCATGGAATATAAATAAAATACATGCATTTCACATGTCTAACAACACTATTTAACCTGCCTGTTATTTCATTGGATACTAACCAAATTAATAACTATAGAAATATGTTGGAGTTCAGTACTTACTTGCATGCAAAAGTCTGCAGATCTGAAATATAAATGCAAACTCCCTGATGGAAACAGTAGGATGGTGAGCAGTCCATAGGACCTTCTTTTTCAGATAATGTAGAGTCATCCCTGGTTACAACAGAAGGACCGATGATAGATTCTGAAACAATTTAAAAGAAGGGGTGGGGTTAATGTGTTTGAGTCTCGGGGCCAAATTTGAATGACCTGATTTGTGAGTAGGTTCTCCCACTTCTTAAACAGTAAATATCAGTAAATGGAAGAAATAAAGGCAGATACAGTGAAATGTCTACTTAGCAGGTCTTAATGCAACAGAACTGGGATACAAAATATGAAATTCCCTATGACTTCACGTTACTTAAAGTCACTGCATAATATCACTTTCTTAATAATAGCTATTTAAGAACCAATGTGATACAATGTCTGAGATGCTGCATTTAGCAAGGTAAATGCAAGTCCTCACTTAATAACTGAGTGCTTTTGGAATGGTTATTCATTACAAACCTGTTATAAGTCTATTCTCAAAGTAAAGCAGAGAGGGATAGAGCAAGAGACAGAAAAGCTTGGTCCATAGCAGTTGAGGAGGAGCTAAAGAACATAGTTACTAAGCATTACATGTAAATTAGAGTCCCCTTTCCCCCTTACTATGACAGAACATTCCAGCTCATATATGATTTTTCCCCACTGTTTAGCTAGCATTTTAATTGGGAAAACATAAGAACATAAGTAGTGTCCGGACTACTGTTCCATCTAGTCTATCAGATGGTTAAAATTTCACAATGGATAACCAACTGCACATGGACATCAACTGGTCTCCCAAAAGATTTGACACTTGTAACTATCAAGCTGATAGCCATGAGCCAAGGTTTATCTCCTAAGTTGTTATTTCAGCAAATCAAACAGATAGGGATATACTGATGCAGTAAGCAAGAGTAAGAAAGGGGGAATTTAAATGGAGATGTCAGAGAAAGGAATGTGCATTTGTAAAGTCTAATTGCCAATTTGCAAAAACATGGACCTGTATCAGAATTGGCCCAGTTTGGGATAAGCTGACAACTTGCTAAAAATTGCTGTCTTCGTATCTCCAAGCAGTTCTCTTAGACAGTAAAGTTATGATTAAATGTCAGCCTTTGCATTCTAGCTATGCAGATCAAGGTATCTGATTATGAACATAGTTTTCAATGAACCCTGATTGGAAATGTCAGCAACTTGAATCTCATGACTATTAACGAACCTAAAATTATTTGATGAGCATTATGACTGACTCAGTACTCGCTTTCATTTATAGGCAGGGTAATGATTTCCAATAAATCTCTATTGGGTGGTTCATTCCATTAACGCTGCCAAATAACAGAAGAAGAAAACGTCTCCTGACATCTAGAGGCTTTGCATATTGATGAACTCATGATGTTAAACATCACCTAGAATGCAGAGAGCCTGGAAGAAGGGGATAAATAATGCCAGCAACCTTACAGAGTTTGGAAGTCCAGCGTCAGCAAGTACTTAAAACTTTTTAACAAGGGAATATGGCCTTTTCAGTGCCAAGAATTGTTTTTGGGGAGGAGGGGTTACATACTCGTCAGCTGTGATGGTTGCCTTGATGTAGTATCTCTGGAACCATCTGGAATTTTGAACCCATTTTAAAACACATAATAAGGCTATGAGGCCCATCAGAAGATTAATATCTCTTTCCTGTCATATCTATGAAACATATTTTTGCTTTGTCAGAATTTGCTGCAGTATTCATATCCAGAAAGCACACACAGGTAACTAATTCATCGGGATTCATTAACTTTTCTTTATATATAATATAGCACATGAAGTAAATATACAGTACTAAAAGCAGGTTTTCCAATGTGGTACTTAATACAAGCAAAACACAGGCAGAGGAGAGAACAGTTTCAGTTTCAGAGCAGCAGCCTAGTTTAGAGCTCAGCACAGACTCAGAGCTTTAGTACAGAACAATTGAGCTAAGCCACACCCAGGCTCCTTGCTGTCTCCTTGTTGCTCACACAGCAAATACTGTTGCAATTTCCAAACAGCCCTCATTGGCAGACTTAGTTGCTATGCCTATTCATTGGCTTACCTTGTTACCATGTCTCTGCCAGTCATTAACTATCATACACACTGACATGTTTGTTTTACTATGATTTGACATTCTGTGGGGGAGGATATGCAGTCCATGACCTACAGGTTACATTTCATTTTCCAGCTACTTTGTATATAAATTACTATATGAACTCATTAAGGCAATTCATTGAATATTCTTATTTTTTAGCAAGAATGACACCTGTCAGTTCTTTCAAGCTGTTATAATATTTATGTTTTAATCTTACAATATTTTTATAATCATTGTTTTATAGTTTGATTGTATGCTACCCAGACTCATGTTTTTGTGAGATGGGCAGTCTGTAAATATGCTCAGGGGTGGGCTGTTGTGGGTTCGCATGGATTCATGAGAATCTCTAGCTAAAAATATGCCCAGGTTGGAGAACCCACAAATTCCACCCCTGCTTCAGAGATGGTATTCTGCTGGTTTGCCCTGGTTCAGGTGAACTGGTAGTGATGGCGGCGGGAGGCTCTGCCTGCCCACCCAGATGGCATCACAGATTATCTGTGCATGGGTGGAAGTTTCAGTTCATGCGCAGAAGCACTATGCATGAGTACCCCTCTGAACCGGTAGCAAAGATGATATCATTTCATGCCTGTCCTGCCTGGCCCCACCCACCCTGGCCCACCCCTCCCAGGAGACCCCACGGGGCTCATTTGGAATGCAAGATAAGTACAGGGCCCACATGGAGGCTCAGGGAGGGCCTCTGGAGCCTGGTGGATGCCATTTTCGCCCTCCCAGAGGCTCAAGGAAAGCCTCCGGAGCCCGGGGAGGATGAAAATGCCCCCCATGCCATGATACAGGAGGCCAACTAGGCCATGGCCACCATGGTCACACCCACCCAGCAACCAGTCAGAGAACCCACTGCTAAAATTTTTGAAGCCCACCCTTGAATATGCTAAATCAATGTGATAAATAAGTATGTCTAGAGGCTTGGCATAAAAACCCCTCTAAGTAGGATGGAGAAATTATTGAGAATGCCCAAAGGTACATCCTTTATCCTAATAACTCACCAGAACAATGAAGTCCATCTTCAGAATAACCCAAAAGGCACTCACAGAAGTAACTTCCTTCAGTATTGATACATCTGGACCAGCTCTGATTGCACTGTTCTTGGTTAAGAAGGCATTCATCAACATCTACAAGGTTTTTAAAAAGGTATTTATAGCTTGGAGACTATACTTGAAATAATTAATTAAATTCTTTCTCACAGAAGAGGTGGGAGGATAAAAGAGGACTGGGAAGAATCATGTATGCGGCCTTAAATTCCTGCTGAGAAGGCAGGATATAAGTATAATGAATCAAATCTGCTGTAGATGAACCTCACTCATATATCAATGCATTTATTCAGCAAACGTATTACATTGATAACTACTGTATATTTTAAACATGATCTGTGACCTCCAAACGCTGACCATCCTGATGGTCAGTGATAATCTATTCTAAACTGAAGGATAAACCTAACATCAAGGCCAGTGATAGGTTCCTACCGGTTTGGACCGCTTCAGCCGAACCGGTAGTGGTTTGGCGGGCTGGGTCACTGGAATTGGCAGCGACCCAGGCCTGCCACACCTCCAAACTGGTTCTTCGGGGATATCATAGGTGCCGCCATCTTGTTTTTTGCTTCTGCACATGCACAGAATAATTTTATTGCACTGCGCTTGTGTGCGCAGTGCGCCCACAAGCGAATCGGCATTAGTGCCTGCCGGAACCCACCCCTGATCAAGCATATTAAAAAATTTAAAAAGCTCTAACTTCAAACCTGAATTTATAGTTGCTGTATTCCTTATTAATCATAGCTTGTATGCTTTTTGAAGGCACTGGCATGGTGCCAAGGGTATAGTCCTGATCTCAAAATGACGACCCAAGATGAAATCCATGCAAAAATATAGAATATTAATATCACTTTGTAATCTGTCATGTAAAATTACCATGGCACAGTTGATCTTCCATGATGAACCCTGTCTGGCACTCACACACAGCACCATTTTGATCTGCAACGCATTGGGAATTGAGATCACAACCAAGTGGTGTACAGTTGTCCTGATCTGTGGCATAAAATAATGATACGAAAATTTATCACTCTACAGTCGTCCATAGTTTATGTGTTCACAGTAGTAAATTGTTATGAACAAACTCAGTAGAGCTAACTTTTTAAATTGTATCCATCTGCCCACCCTTTACAAGGCACATGGGTTATGGACAGGATGACAAACCTTCTCAGTGGCAGATCCAATTTTATGGAATATTCTCTTTCCAAGATATCTGTACCTTCTTCCCTATTTGCATTTTGCAACTGATCAAAACAGTATTGTTGCAGTGGGCATTCCTCTTTTTTAGTCAGTTAGTTAGCTTCCCAGGGTTAAGAGTAAGTGACTGGTCCAAAGTCAATCTTTGCACCTAAGGCTTTGCACCTAAGGTGGAACTAGAATTCCCAGACTCCCAGCTTCTAGCCTGATGCCTTAATCCAAGGGTTGGGAACGATAGGCCTTTTATGACCTGTGAACTTCAATTCCCAGAATTCCTGAGCCAGCCATCCTGGCTCAGGAATTCTGGGAGTTGAAGTCCACAAGTCATAAAGGGTCCATCGTTCCCCACTTCTGCCTTAATCACTGCAGCAAGCTGGCTCTCATTCACCCCTTAGATTAAGTTAAATATCTCTAGCTAGTACTTTGTTCTGTCTTCTTTATAATCTTTTGTATCATAATCAGAGTCCGTTTGGATTGAAGGCGCTATAAATGTTGCAAAATATATAAATAAGTAATATTTGTCATGGAGCTAGTTGCTGGCACAGTTTAATTTGCCACTGCAGAGTCGACAGACCAATGACCTAATTTAGTATAAGTTTTTTTATGCTCCAATTGCACATGATCACAACAGCCATTGGCATAAACTGCAGAGATGCTTCTTTAGTCCCTATCAGCTATTTTGCCAGTCACTGAGAACACACATCTCCTTCTGTCATTGGGAAATAAGAAAAGGCAATCTTTACTAGACACCACAATTTCAGCAGTCAGTGTCTGTTGCGTCTCCCCATGGCTATCACCATATTTGCTGTTAATCAGAAGATGCTGGGGTGATATTTCTCCGGCAAACATTTCCTTTCCTAATGCATCTTCCTTGTATGTAGAGATACGGCCTGAAAGAGTAAAAATAAATAGGTGATATACACTGCACTGTGTCATTTCAAAATTGTCATTTACTAGTGGAGAAATATCCTTGTAATGTATTTTGACTGCTAAATTAAAGCAAAAAAGTTTGACTTGTTATTGTAACTGTCAAAATAGACTAGTAATAGAGTCACATTGCTTACCATATAGGTGTAATTAAAATGACAATTATAGTATTTTCCTTTTAAAAAGTTAATTCATTATTGGGGCAGGTTTTGCTATTTTATAAAATGTATTACAATGCTATTCTATTATTATTTGCAGCACTTGCCAAATAGTAATTTACCAGGAAGCTTGCTTCTAACATTTTAGAGCCCCTAATACAGTGATAGCTAACCATTCTGTCCACACGCGCTGAAAGCATGCGCATGCGTGCCACAGCACATGTGCATGCCCACACTTATAATATAATACATGCATGACACACACACACCCCATTTTCGGCCTAGCAGGCCTCCCTGAAAGATCCTGGGACCAAAAATGGGGTACAGGGGGTGCGGGTGGGCAGGGTGGCACAAAGGTGCTACCCCGCTACCCCCTGCTACCCCCCACCCCCATGCATGCGCACGTTGTTACAGTGTTATATCCGCCTTGAATGCAGCTTTATTCCTCTCTAGCATTCATCTCCATTGTTCAGTAATGCATTTCCTGCCTCTCTAGGATTTATCTCTATCTGCTCCTGTGAGTCACTTCCTGTTTCTGTTGGATGTATATACTTATATTCTCGATGGCTTGTATAGTGTTTTAACTGCATTTTGATTAAACAGCATGNAAAACAGTTTCTTCTTTCCTTCTTGCCTGAAGGATAAGAAAACCTGATAAGACGTCAGATGGAAGATCCTCTAAACAGGCTTGGCAATTTGACTGCAAATGTTTCATTACTGTTCAAGGAGACATCATCAGTATGTTTTGAGTTGTGCTTGTCTGTCAGAACACAGGTCTTTAAATACCATTTTTATGAGATGCAAATTACTCTGAATGTTGTTTGGATATTTCTGAGTCATGGACTGCTTTTAGACTGTTGGATTGGCTAGCTGTTGTTGTTGGGCTGTATTTAAGTATTGTCTGATGAGCACAACTCAAAATGCACTGACGAGGTCTCCTCGAGTGGTGATGAAATGTTTGCAATCAAATTGCCCAGCCCAGAGCTCAAACTAACAGCCTAAATAATGGACATTGTCAAGACCACACAACTCGGACTTTATAGTATTATTGCATTTGCTAACTAACAGAAAGATTTTGTATTTTGTAATTTGACTTACGTTTCTTTCTCTTTTAAATGAAAAATTAAATAAAAATTAAAATTAGACAGAACCTAGGGGCCAGGTTTGGCCATCACTACAGACACCAAAAAAAGCTGCAAAATTTAGGAGCACACAGGTAAAAACAAAATCATCATTATTCTTTCTGTTCATCCTCCAAAGAGGTGATCTCCAGATATAGAGCATAATTTTAATGTTCCCAGTAGCCTTCCGAATGTGGAAATGTTCAAGCAAGGAGAGAAAGTGCTAAGAAGGAAGATAAATTACAAATTCTTCAAGGGGAATAAAGAAAGAAAATTCAAGAAAGCCAGGAGATGAAAAATACATGAGGTCAGAAACGGAAGGCCAGAAAAACGGATGGTATGGATGTGAGGACTCTCCATAACTTTTTAATGGGGCAGTTCACAAAATAACTAAAATTAAAAGTATTGCTGTAGCTGCCTGGCCACAAAAATGGCTCAGGCACTTTTAGCAACGATTTTTTCAAATAGCCCAGGAATAACAACACACCTAAAACTGGTGATAAGCTCTAAAACAGAGAGTCTCAATCTTGCCAACTTTAAGATGCACGGACTTCAACTCCCAGAATTCCCCAACCAACTCCCAGAATTCCTCAACCAACAACCCCAACAACCAATGTTGGTGCGTCTTAGACAACGAATACAGCCATTTTTGGTCTCCTGAAGCCCTGCTCCCGCGGTCCAATTATAATGCATCCAAATGCATTATACCTATACCTATAACCAACTCCCAGAACTCTCCAACCAACTCTCAGAATTTCCCAACCAACTCCCAGAATTCCCCAACCAACAACCCCAACAACCAATGTTGGTGCGTCTTATACAACGAATACAGCCATTTTTGGTCTCCTGAAGCCCTGCTCCCGCGGTCCAATTATAATGCATCCAAATGCATTATACCTATACCTATAACCAACTCCCAGAACTCTCCAACCAACTCTCAGAATTTCCCAACCAACTCCCAGAATTCCCCAACCAACAATCCCAACATCCAATGTTGGTGCGTCTTATACACCGAATACAGCCATTTTTGGTCTCCTGAAGCCCTGCTCCCGCAGTCCAATTATAATGCATCCAACTGTCAAGTGGGAGATAACTTCAAAAGTATGGAATGCTGGACAGTTGGCCTTGGCGGGAAACTCCCTTCCTCCACATGCGTAGTAAGGTGGTCCGATCAGTCTAGAAACTTCCTCCAGCACATCATG